TCAAAGTAAGTTCTTTGCTCAGTGAATATGGTATTTTGATCTCCAGAGGTAGAGTTGGTTGAGTTGATGGGATTTTAGCTGATGAATTAGATTAGCTTGTTAAAGGAAGAGACCCAAGTCCAACAAAGATGCTGCTGATGCTACAACTTAGAGATGTGCTGGTGATACCTCCCCTGAAGAGTCCCCTTGCTGAGTCCCTATGTTCTTTTTTTCTATCACTCTGTGGCTAGAAGCAGGTAAGGGCTTGGCAAGGTATTGCAACATGCTGTAGTAGGCTGTAATGATACAGCTTTTCTAAGGCCACCATAAGCTTCCTTAGTCCTCTGAGACATGAAACATCCGAAATACGCAGTAGTCTTCCAAGTCATCCTTTTCTGCTTGAAACCTAGCAGAGTAGTCTTTGCAGAAGCTCCATGTCTGCCATAGATTTTTTTAGCTGGAGAAAAGAAGCCTCTGTGAACCTTTGAACCTGTGGCCTTCGTGTTTGCTGCTAGCATCCAGGTCCTGCTGTTATTCCAGCGTAGTTTCTTTAAAGTAGAATCTGTCCACTTCACGCTGGCATGGCAGGTCAGCGTTTGGCCCCAGGTCTGTTACTCTGTGGCTTTAAAGGGAAAGCCACATGTGAACCTCAGCAAAAGTTCAAAGAGGTTACCTGGCAGCTCCTAAAACCTGAACTTTGAATTAAAGAAAAGCCATCAAAGGGAAGTGTTGATTAAGAAGTATTTCGCAGAAACCCCGAGATCCCATTATCTTGACCTTCATCTTCTTAGGACAGAGCAGTGAGTGATTCACCTGCAATCTGTCCCTTTGTCCAGACAGAAGAACCTGGCAGGGACTGTAAGATCAACAGAGGGATTAAGGGAAATGTAATTGAACATTGCTAGCTTAGAGTTTGCAGAGCAGGAGTCCTCTCCACGGTGTGCGCCAAGAGGAGCGAGGCACAGCCGCGTGCAACCAGCACAGGGACACGCAGCAGGTCAGAGCTGCTCTCCCTTGAGCACAAGCCAAGCATCAGCTCTTCTGTAGCGCTTTACTGAGAGAAGAGCCCCCAAAGGTGGGTGGCCACCGTGGTTTTCAGTTCGCAGGGCGAAGATGGCTCCAAAATGCAAGTATGCCCTGTACTGGGAGGCAGAGCTGAGGCCAGGAGGCTTTTGGATCTTGTGCCTAGTCCCGAGGCCCTGGACCGTGCCACATATCTGTTGCTCGGATGCCAAGCGCCCTCTGAGCCACCGGAGACGATTAGAGTTAGGCTAAACGAGCAGATTAGCTGGAGCACCCCTTGACCTATGGTACACGGAGCTGCATGGCGATCCAAGAGCAGGTGAGATTATAGGCCTGAGAAGTTGAGAACTGTGACACTGGCATTAGTGGGAGCAGGATTAAGTGCACCAGTGCAGCTCAAGAGCCTTAAAGCAATTTAAAGAATCTTTAAGAATTTCATGCAGAGTCTGTGTAGGTCCGTCTAAACTACCATCCAACCTGGAATTCCCCTGTAAACTTTATTCTGCAAAAGAGAAGCTCCTGGAGACATCAGCATCAGCTCCAGGACCCTTGCCAGGAAGGAAAGATTAAAGAGAGAGATCCAAAATAGGCTAGATTATCTAGTCCTAAGTATGACTTAATAAGCATTATGGTGGGGCTTTGATGCTGTGATAATTAAAGAGCCGTTATTTACCTAAACTGTGTCCCAAATATAAATTGGGTTGAAATGAGTGTTTATAAAATACAAAAATTCCCATGAATGCTATCGCAAATTCTAAGAGCTCCAAACAAAAACCAGAGCAAACCCTTGCAGAGTACACTTGAGCCATGCAGAACTAGTGGGTTTTTTTACTGTTGTAAAATGTTTGAGATTAGAAATCTTGTGGCTTGAGCAAGGCTAGAATTTGATTCAGAATTTGATTTGAATTTGGTGGCACATATAAGAGGACATCCTGTGCATGGACAAGGCCTGGAATTGGATGGCCCCCTCCAACTCTTCCATGTCCAAGCACAGCCTTCCAATGGAGGGAAGGCTGTTTTGGGCGCTGCAAGTCCCTGGCCCTGCTGCCAGGACCGTGTGGGTGGCAGGGGCAGGGAGGCAGAGGGCAGGTTTGTTTTGCCAACAAGGGAGTTCAAAGTCAGTTTTCCCTCCTGTCAAAGTTTGAGTGTGTCTGGGGGTAATGCTGTGAGTAATCACTGATTTTAATAACAAGATCGGATTTTCTACTGACATTGTTGGGGATAAAGGAGGATTTGTAGATACTTCAGCTATATTAAGCCATTATTACAATTGATTTGTGGACACAAAAGGGAAATGAGTCATTATTGCTTTTGATACCTAGACAGAGGAGCCTGCGGAAGCCACCCTCTCTGTCAGAAATAAGGCCTCATTGCATTGGTATGTGATATTATAGTTGCAATTATTTTGAGATGCAAATCTTACATGATGTCTCATGCACTTTATCATTTCTAATTACTTTAGGTACTTTAGGTGCATAGAAAGATGTATAACTTCTTTTTGAGTCATCACATTGGCTTAAATATAGCTTCTAGTGTCCTCCCTACCCTCAGGAAATGCTGTGACTTTGTGAGATCTGTGTATAGAGCTGGAGCATCCCATTGCCAGGAGCTTCCTAAACATGTCCCCACTCTCAGTGCCCGCTCCACAGGGTTTCCCATCCAGGGCTGTCTTCGTGAGCCCCTTGCCTCTGTTTGGGATGAAAAGCCCCTCACCAGCCACCCCAGCTCCATCGGGAGTCCACAGGTCCTGCCAAGAACCAGTTCAGCGGATTTACAGCGGGCGATCCTTGGCGATGAGTAGCCTGAGTTTGTTTTAGCTTCTGTCGCTCTTAGGAAGTTTCGGCTGCCCTCCGGGACTGATGGGGTGCAACAGCTCTCAGTGCAATGCGCTGGAGTCCAAAGGCACCCAACCTGCCAGACGGGCCGGGCCAGGCCTGCTCCGCGAAGCTCCCGGTGCTCAGGTGTTCTGGTCCTCCTGGTTCCGACACATCCTGTCTCTGCAGTCACATCACCCAGCCAGTTCTTGCTGTTCTGCATAATGCAATTCCTGTTATTTCTTGAGACTTTTACAGTACCCTTTTTGACTTGAGGGGAAAAAAAAGTGATAAGGCATTGAAATGATCTCAGTCCTGTGCCAGATAATCTGCAATGAATTAATTATTGGTGATACTATCAAGCAGCTAATTGACATGTTATTGGATTGGGAATATGCCACTACTAGTGGCTCATCTGTACTCCTGCCTAAGGGCACAGTGCTCCATGTGCTCCATTAGTCCCAGACCAGGGCTTGAGAATTCAATTTGCAAAGGCCCAAAGAGGCCCCTCTGCTGCACTGTGCTTTCCATTTCTGAAGACTGCAGGGGAGAAGAACTGTCTTCAATATTTTGATGGGTCAAACCCAGTCAGGAATGCAGTGCCATCGCTGGGATGGCGTTGGGGTTTTTGTGTTTGCGAGAAGCAGCAATGGATGGGTGTGTATGTGAAAGAAACGAATGATGGCAATGTAGTTCTAATCTGTTTTAATGGGCGTACCTTGAGACACTAACTCTTTCCTTAGAGGTCAGAAGTGTCCCAGGGCAGGTTCAGGTCAGACATCTGAGCACTCCTGAGCATCCAGCTGCCCTGTGGTCTTGCTGTAGAATTCACTGTGGTGAGAATGATGTCGCTGAGTCTCTGTGGGGCCTTCAGCAAACACCGTTTCCTCCTTCTCAGCGTGGCACTAGGGTCACCGCCTGTCCCTCCCTGTGTCCTGGGAGGCTGTTTAGTGATTTAAAAGTTCAAAGGAGCTGTCAGGAGAGAAGGTTATGTGGCCTGAAGCGCCAGAAGTGACCCTTCCGTGTGGAGCTGCTCCTCTCCATGCCCCTTGTCCTCAGTGTGCCCTCTCCTCACCGCGTGCTCGCAACAGCAAAATGTCTGATCAGTGGGTCTCCGGGAAGATTTGTTAATTAAAGCCAGGCTTTTTAATCCTACTGTCCACAGCCCGGATCATGGAAGCAGGATTTAATGAGACCCTGACAAGTAAGTCTCTTCAGCCTTTTCCTGCCAGACAGCTTATGTAATTGTGCCCTGCCACGAGAAGCGAGTGCACTGCAGTCCCCTCGGCTAGGGATGGCCAGAGCTTCGGGTGAACGCGCAGTGCTGCTAGCGCCCAGCACGGATGCTGCAGAGCCTGTGCCCACGTTTGACCTGTGCACCCAGCAAGAACCTGCTATATTTACCCATTGTTGTGCTGAGAAGGGCGTCTGGCTGGGGCATTGCACGGACCTACGTGGCTTTGGAGGTGTCGGTGCATCTCGGACACCGCTACTCAAGGGTGGTGTTGCAGAGCCCTGAGTGCCCTGTGGCAACACAGGGGTTCAGACCCCGAGAGCTCCAAGATTGCTGCTTCCAGGCTCTGGAGAAATGCTCTTGTCCCCAGTGACTTTGACTGTGACAAGAATTTATTGACCCCATCAGAGACATGGGCACGGTCCACACCAGCTGTGGCCAACAACTGAGCTGATAAAGTTTCTCCATCAGTGACTGCTTTCACTGGAGATTATGAATTTTCTGGTTGATGGAAGTTGACATTCCCTGCCTCTCTGTTTCCTGAAAACTCTCTGTAGTTGTCGTTCTGAACAGAAGCTTTTAGACTCTTGTGTTCCTGGCCACAACCCGTCGTTCCTGCTGCTTCCCTCGCTGCCAGAGCTCCTTTCGGGTGCGTGTGGTGCATTGCTGCTTATGCAGTGCACAGGATTTGCAGGATAAAAAAAATAGTTTCAAAAACAATTTGAGCTATTTATGTCTGAAAGAAGCTAATAAAGCAGTTAAGACACGTTAGCAAATCTGATGGTTATGCTTAAATGCTTGCAATCACCTTTCTGTATGGTTTACCCATATACTTAAACGTAGGGAGATAACGCCATCCCGAGCGCATGTTCCTCAGCTGTGTTTCTGTGCGTTGTGAAATCTGTGGAATAAAAGGGGGTGTTGGAAGCTGCCCTCGCATGCTGTTGTTGTGACGTCCTGGGACTGGGTGGAAGGTTGTTTCCCACTGTGATGGCCCAGGACAGCACTCGCCCGTGGAAACGACGCTTGTTGGTGCCCTTGTGCAATAAGGTAATTTCTCTCTCTCTCTCTCGGTAGGTATTAAGGTAATTGGTGGTATCAAAGAGCTCACAGGAGAAGAATATGGAGTTTATGTCAAGAGGATCCTACCAGGGGGTGTTGCTTATGCTGATGGTGAGTTAAACGTGAGGGGCAATATTGCAACTTGAGAAAAGCCAAAGGACAGTGTACCCATTTAATGCATTGTGTTACTGCATATCTGAGACATTTCCCTGCAATTTGCTAGCAGTGGGGAGTCATTGTAATGTCTGACAGCAGCCCTCCGTCTGGAGCCAAGGACATTTAGATGATTCTGAGGCATGTAGATGACTCCACTGTATTTACAGCATGATACATCCATGCTTCAGAAAGAGCTCTCTCCATTTTGTGCTCTCTCTGTTTTCTTAGGTGTCATTAATTGTATTTAGCCTGAAAATGCCCCGAGATCCTTCTGCTCTGATCTGGACTGCACCATTAGTCTCATTCTGAAACTTCCTCAGATAAGTCAGTATTAGACAAGGGTCTGCAGAGTTGACCTTTTATAACATAAGCTAGAAAGATTTTTCAAATGTTACAACATCATTTGTTCATCTAATAAAGGAAAATAAATCCAGAACAGGTGGAGGTGAAACTCATGGGTTTTCTACCTGACCTCAAAAATTAAATCAAGCAAAAGCTTTACTGCATTTTTTGTTTGCTGTCGTGCCTTCCTGCAACGTAGGAAGTACTGTGGCAACGACACAAATTGTTTAGGGAGGCTGCAGAAACTTCATCTGTGAACATCTTGAAAAACAGGTTGGATAAGCTTCTCATGAATGACCTACTCATATTTCATCTTGTCTTTGTGTAAAGGGAGGGACTTCCTGACTTCTCTGAGTCCCTTTTAGCTGTATTTGCTGCAGTTTCTATCCATTAGTTTTCTTTCCTAGGTCGCCTGCAACCAGGAGACCAGATCCTGGAGGTCAATGGAGATTCCCTAATTGGAGTTACAAGTGAAAGGTATCATATCCAAATGGGGACTTTGCATTCCTGTTGGTTTTGTATAATTCTGAGAAGTGTTTCAGGCTGCAGGCTTGCATAACGAGCACCAGTGCTTGGTCCCTGCCCTAATGTAAGCAAAGCACCCAGCACTGTTCCCAAGAGCCAGCTGTGTTATGGGACTATGGCAGACTGAAAAGTTTCTACATAAAAATAGACCAGGAAACCCAAAGTGTATTATGAGAAATTCACGTATGACCTGCAATGCTGGCTCAATCTAGCCTCACCTTTCCGTGCGGGAATGGTCATTTTCTCGGTATATTTTTAGCTTTCCATGAGCAGCACTGTCAGAATATGTGCACGTTGCAAAAACGCCTTGCCTGGAGTCATACCACAGCCCTGAACTGCTGCAGAGGAGGGATAGAGATGCCCCCTCTTGCTTATGGCCCCCCACAGCCACGCGAGATTAGCCAACGTACAAGCTCAGCAGTGCAGGGATTCCCTCCAGAGCTGCGATCCAGCCCCTTGTCTCAGTGCCAAGAATTGCTGATTACCTGGATCACCAGTTAATTACTGATCCAGGTGAACACTACGCTTTTGGGACACTGTTTTTCCTTTAAATATTGTGCTAGACCACTGGTTGCCTTGCACTTCTGCCTGTCACTTTTTAGCTGCCACAACTGGATAGATCTTTGAAAAGCAGCCCAAGGAGCTTGTCCTGCTCCCAAATCCCAGATCCTGCTCTTTTTGATGGAGGATGTTCCCAATTACATTTCTGCAGCTACAGGGGCTGTGTTATGCAGGGATGCTCTGTCTGGTCTGTGGACCTCTGACTCTAACTGGGATGCATGTATTTTGAATTGGGAAGTAGTGGATGTCTCCAAGGAGCCTTCCAGAGGGAGCAGGTGTGCAGGGAGGTATTTGCCTGCTGGCATGAACATATTCTGGGTTTGCTTTATTATCAGGAGCTTTTAAAGTTAATAAAGAAGTAGGGAGTTGGGCGGTGACTTAGCTTCCCTCCAACCCTGCTGCCAGGCAAGAAAATCAAGGCTGCTTAACAGATATTCAGCCTACCAGATGCCTCTCCCTCAAAAAAATGTCATTTGGCTGCTCTTGAGGGTTTGCCCAGGACACGGCTCACTGCCAGGCTTGACGTGAGCTGTGACGTGCCAAGGAGCGAGCTCGGGGATGCGTTGCTGCAGCCGTGTTGCCATGTTACAGTTCTTTGCTTGCCTGTCCTCTTGCAGGGCTGTGGATATCCTGCGAACAGCGTCTGCCACCAGCCACATGCGCCTTCTTATAGCCCGAGATGACGACGCCAGGTAAGGTGGTGTCATGCGTGTAGCCATGGTTGGCACCAGCTCTTGCTGCACTGCTATTAAATGACCAGGGCTCACCTTGTCTGGCTGAGGAGTGTTGGAGCCACGTGCCCTCTCTTCTCTTGCTATGCAGAGATGTTATTTTTGTTCAGTTCCCGGCCTCCATTTCCACCAACAACACTTGCGATGGGAATGGCAGCTCGCACAAACAAATTTGAAGCCTTTGAGGAAGTTGGCCAAAGGTCTTCATTAGCTCTAAAATGGTGGGAACATTTGAAAGTCATAACAGGAACAGAAACAGAGTTGTTATTACCATCCCTTTCCTTTCTGGTTAGATACATTATGCCAAGATGGTCTTTCACCTGGATGTGTTTCCCAGTTTCAAGGCTTAGGAAGAGCTTTACAAATAGAGTGGTACCTTCCCCACAGAATTCCTCTCTGCCAGAGTGGGAGATCACATTCTCCCTGAAGCCTCTTCACTACCTGCTTCCTGGAGAATCTTGCCTTTTCCTGAGACAGTTGGGTATTTGAAAGGATAAAGAAAGAGTTCAGTTATGTCCTGGCCAGACATTGAGCATCCCAGGACAGAGGGCAGGGTTATAGAAACCAAGCTGGGAGATACTATTAGGGAGATACTTTAAGTGTGTTCAGCTTACAGATTCTGGGGTATCTGACACAGCGTGCTGGAGCATTCTGTATCTTCTGGAAAAAATACATGTCTGGAAGATGCACCAGTAACCACTGAAAATAGAGCAGGTTAAGGTAAAGTGCAGTTGTGGGCAGGCAGCCGGTGTCTGAGACGATGCTGAGTGTGAAATCCAGAGCAAAACTGCTCATTGAACAGAGCCCCTCTCCAAAAAAACTGCAAATGCTGGTGGCTTCCAGCCATGAGAGGCAACGGGACTTGGTTTGGTGGCTCCTTCCCACTGAGCAGGGACAGAACAAGGCTGCAAGGAAAAGCCAGCAGTTCCCCAGGGTGCCACACCAAGAGGCAGCCCTTTGTGGCAACGCGAGGGCAGGCGCAAAGGTCTGTTGAGGCTGGTGGGACAGAGGTTTGCACCGAGCGTTAGCAGCTTAAGATCAGGGGATCATTTGTTCAATGTTCCTGCAGCCCTTAGGGTTGGAGATCAGAGTTTCATTCCTTGTCCATCGATGGCTATGGAACACTATTGCCTTGGCAAAACAGTGAGAGCACTATAACGGAAGGGATAAGGGTAATTTTAGTGTGGTTATGTTCTGTTGGAAGAAGTATCTTGCATTAATTGTTTCAGCTAGTTTTATTCTGTGCTCCAAGTAAAAATAACATGTCAAATAATTACAGTAACCTGTAAGTTTCTGAGTCAGCTGCTGAGGAAGTGCTGAATGAAGTGATTAGATCATCCAACTCAGATTTGGGGATGTGGCTGTTTTGGTGTGAATACATTTGCACAGGTCACTCATTGCAGCTCTCCCACTGGCGAGCAGTTTTCCTTGCTTTAGCTGAGGAAATAGTAGCGGGCAGCTTGCACTGCTGGCTGTGCTGTGCCAGGACCATGAGGGGTTTGGATTGATTCTCTTGTCTGAGTAATTCCCTGGAGACTCCTGCATGGGCTGAGCAGGGGCAGGACTTACCCATATACCTTGTGGAAACATCTTGTTTCTCAGCCAGTGCCCCCAGAGCAGACTTTCTGCGTGTACCATGTTTATCTATTCCAAGCTTTTTGTGTATCTCAGCATACCTCTTAGTCTCTTAAATTGCAGCAGATGTTCCTTAAAATATATGTGGCGTGGCTGGGTTTGCAGCTACAGCTCCTTCGTGCATCTGTCAGCTGAGCCTCCCATCACCATGAGTTGCAGATTGCTGTAAATAGATAGGCTGGAGACAGTGAGGGCAACTTAACTTTAAACAATTTATTTGGCCTCTGTTTGCTATTGGTTATCTGTTAAATCTGCAGAAGGTTACCCAGAGGGAGAGCAGAGAAGTAATCAGTTTAATATTTTTTTAAAGATTTGCAGAGATTTCACTTACATAATCATCTCACAAAACCTTTAATACACGAATACATATCTCCTGGATTAAGAGCTATGGAAGAGAGGGAAGGATTTTTCTGCTGTCTACTTTTTTCCTTAGTTTTGTCTTTTTTATTTCATATTATCTTTAAAAAAGGCCCTTCAGCTCAGCCAAGCAGACTGCCCTGTGTCCCTGCCTGCCCACGTGGATGTAGCTGTGGCCAGTGACACTTTATTGCCTGGGTTTTGAATGAAGAGGGACTTGGCCAGTTGTGGATAATGAGGAGAGCCAGATCCTCATTTACACTAAGGCCTTTTGCACTGTCCTGTCAGCCTAAAATCACCCCGGTGTGAAGCAGATGCAGGGCAGAGCTATTCTATTGACAGGCCAAAAAAATCGGCATTGGCTTTGCCATCTCCTCACCTCCAAATGGGCTGAAATGGGTCTTCTCAGGATGCCTTCCTCTGAGCCCAGGCATGAATGCCTAGCAAAGTAGCTCATGTCACACGCAAGCCATGGAATCGCACAAGGGGACACATAAGTCTGCCTATTTGCAGATGCTGGCGGGCAAGTTTTCTTCATAAATCCAGAACATGTAGCTCTGATATGAGGTACTCAGGAGGATGAAATGTGATAGCTCTGGATTTGAAAGAACATTCAACCTGCTTGCCAATTTTCCCAGTGACTCAGTTGAATAGCATTTTGTTGTGGCTTCCCTTGGGTGAATTTGACTTATAAATGTTGCTATTTGTTCCTGAAGTTAATTACAGAGTCAAACTGCCAGTGCAGTTAATGGAACTTAGTCCCAGTGTGTATAAGATGCATGCTTTCCCCTTGTGACATCAGGAAAGCCGCAGAGAACTGCAGTAATGCTATTGTTTCAAGCAGAAAATTCAGATTTAGAGTTTAACGTGCCAAATTTGGAAGATGTTTGGATCTGATTCTGTCTATGCTCATCTCTAGCTAATGAAGATAAGCTTAGTGCATGTGTGTAATTATTGCTTATTTGTTCTCAGCCTGCAAGTTGCAATAGTTCCTTGTTTCTCTAAGCTGCACAGATATCCTCCTGGTCTTTCAGGTTTATCACTGTGAGAAAGCCTGTTTGTGCTGCACCTCCTTGTGCTTGCAGGATAAAATGCTAATGCAGTACTTCTGTGCGGATGGTTTGCATAGTCACCCTGGTGAAAACTTTCTCTTATATTAATAAGGCCTGCATCAGAAGAAATAATGAAAGTAGTCTGCTTTCATGTCAATGTGCTGTACTCTTTACCCTGGGCAAGTTCCAAGTGACACATGCTTACATCTGATCCAGGAAAGGGTGAATAAAGCTGCTTTTGCTCAGTATTCAGTACAAAATGCACCTCTCGCATCACAGCCCCGCTGATACAGCCTTCCCGCTGTGCCTGCCAAGGGACAGGGTTGCCCTGTGCTCCTGTGTTTCCTGGCGTGGTAACCAAGTGCAAGGCTGCGCTGCGGGGTCAATTCATCCTGTTTTGGTTCAGCTCTATGATCTCTGCTCTGTTGCTTGTGCATTCTTGGACATTTGCTGAGGACAAGTGGAGTGAGAGGGTTTTGCCTTTGTGAGTGACCATGAAGGAGAGACCCGCAGGTCTGTTGGGAACATTTTGCCTTCTTTGTGTTGCATCTTTCATTCATACATTACTTTTCCAGTATCTCCCAAGTGTTCCTCCCACACTCCACCAAGTGCTGGCAGGTGAGCATGGCAGACTCCTGCATGCTAAAGCCACCCGTGCTAAGCACTATCCCAGAATTACTGGAGAGGCTGTTGCTGAAGTCCATGCCTAGCCTACTGCAAATGCAAGATGGTCCCTTTTTATCATGAGCCAAAAAGTGCTGAATTACCTTCCATTTATGTGACTATGGCAGTAGCTCAGGCAGTACCTAGAAATTAGCTTTAGCCATTGGATTGTGCATTTGAGCACTGAGTGCTAAACCCAAAGACTTGTGCAGGGGCTGAATCCTGCAAGCCTCGGGTGTTGCAGCGCTGTAAAGGTGAGGGCTGCGTGTGACCCTCAGTGCCCAGGCGTTTCCAGAAAAGCCAAGTGCAGTAACGGCCTCATGGGCAGCCCAGCATAGCAAGCTCAGCACTAGCACAGTTGAGTGCAGCCCTGTTCCCAGGTGGTTCTGCAGGAACAGAGCCCGGGTCAAGCTCTGGGCATGGAGCTGCTGCATCGCGGGTGCAGAGCTGCCCAAAGAGACGGTGATGCTGGAGCCCAGCGTGCTGCGTGTGGGAAAATCGCCTTGTGCGATGCCTGCTGCTTGCATGTGGCTTGCAGTGCCTAGGGTTTACAGTCCCCACTGACCTGCAGGGTTTGTTTGTTGAAAGGAGCTATTAATTCACGTGGTGCCGCGGACTCCTCTTCGCTGCGTGCGGAGGTTGCTCCCGCGCCACCTTTGCCACGTTCACCCTTTGTTCTTCCATGGACAAAAGGGCAGGCCCAGAGCTATTACGAGCTAAAACAACCATGTTCTGCAGAAAGATTGACCCCCTGCTGCTTAATCTGCAGCAAAGTCGGTCTGCAGCTGGCTGCTGCTAGCAACTCTGCCTCTGCTCCATGGGTCCAGCTGTAGCAAGTCTGAGCTGGGTTACAAGGAGCCTCCAGATCCTTAAATTTCTGTTTCCTAATAAAAAAAAAAATAGCTGGAGAAGTAGTTGCTAAAATGAATTTTTGACCCATTGCAATGCTACTATTTTTTTTTTCTTGAAATAAAGCTGGGTGTTTAGAGACCTGACAATTTGGGATATTTTAATAAGGTCATATTTTAAATATTAGAGAGGGCTTCTGAAGTCTTTTAGCATCTGAAAGCATAAAGGTTTGTTAGCATTCCTCCAGGGCCATTGGTCATCAATCAGTAATGTCGGGCCACTTATTCCTCCAATCACAATGCTGAGGACAAAAGTGATTCTTGGGAGGTTCATACAAGAAAATGTGTCACTTGCTCCTGGGATAAGCATGTACTTCAAATTAGTCATGTATTTTATGTCCTTGGCTCCTGCTTTGTTGGTCAGTGCAAGCCGCAATTCAGCTGAGATGGTTGTTTGTGACTTGGTCACACCATCCCTATAGCAAAAGGATGGGTTGGACACTTTGCAAAGCACCTGTAGGCTCAAAGCTCTTTGTCCAGGCTCCTGAGCAAATAACCTTTCCCTTTGTGGATGAACTTAACAACACGAAGCAAACAACAACAAAGAATGTCCAAATCACACTTACCCTTGTGTATAGCAAAAAGCTTGACAGCTCTGACTGGTGATTGGATTTGCATTGTGTAAAGACTAAGAATAGGAGCTGCTTGACTAGTTGCATTTTCATTTACTGAGATTTTTTTTATCCTATCGTTTTTAGTTTGTGACCTTTTACCAGCTCTGTTGATTTATCATCTAAAGGACATATAACAACAGCAGACCAAAAGAATGCCCAGCCCAAAAATACCCAGCTGCTGATGGCTAGGTAAACGCTGGAAATAACATATTAGCTCATACTGCTAATCAAATTCTCAAAAATTGGACCTTCACTACAAGAAATCATGGAGGGATAGGTCCATCAAGGCTTAAGTTACTGTCTAAATGGGATTCTGAATAACCTCCATAAAGACAAAAGTGTTACTAGAATATTGGAAAAAATTGTTAAGATGCTTAAACCAAGGAAACCAGAGGACAGGAAGCAGCTGTCCTGTTGCTATTGAATCCTTGCTATTGGATTTGCTATTGCTATTGGATCTTTGTATCTTGTTTTTCCACTTACTCAGTGCTTTTATGAATAGCTTTGGTCTGTGAAACTAGTGCTAGTTGGAATAGTTTTGTAGCCAATGAGTTTTCTGAACAAAGAAGTTGTCTTTTATATAAGGTCATAGGTTTAGTTGATAAAGACAACAGCACTGATGCAAAATATTTGAACTTGCCAAGGCATTCCAGTAAGTATTGTGTGATACTTGGATGTAAAATTAGTATTAAATGGGATGAATGCGGCATGTATTTGATGGCAATATTAGATAAGGCAAGCACTACTTTTTGAAGTTGGTTAATGAGCTGATGGTTAATGGGAAGACATAAATTACTGAGAGCATTTCCAACAGGAACCAAAGGAGGTGATGATTCATCCCCCATTTTATATTGTTGACTCTCCTCTGGCCAATAACACGTAACATCTGTCTGTTCGTGTGCTAGCAATGCAGGACTGGCCTCCTCGCTGCTTGGGGAAGCTTTGCCCTGTCTGGTTTCCTACAGGTTTATGTCTCAAGGTTGACTGACAGTCAAGTGTGAGAGCTTGCCATTCATAACTAGGCTTTTGTTGTGGCTGTGACATAAAGAGGGCACCTTTCCCACATGGATTCCCTCATGTCTTAAAGGTGAGCAACTAATATTGTTACCACTGCCCCAGAAGTAGCGCTTTTATGGTCTCCCTGCCCTGCTTGGCTGCTTATTTACCAGCACCTGTAAGGAATTAGTCCTTCTTGAGGCTTTTCTGTCTGTCAAGGGTGGCTGGATGTGTCAGGGAATGTTTGAATTATGAAGAGAGAGGAGAACAGACCCAGGAGAGGTGCACTCTCGGGAGCCCCATGCCTGAAGGAGGCTGGCATAAGAGGTCACTCCTAATTGTCTCTACTGGGTGAGGTTAATATCAGAACATGTCATCCCTCTTCCAAGCCGACTGTTCAAAATGGAAGATTCTCATGGCAGCTCAAAGAAAGGCTAAAGAAAATGATGCAGGAATTGGTAAATGCTTTAAGACCTCAGTGTGTCTGACTTGGCACAAGGAAGGCTGTGAAGCACTCTCTTGTGTGCAGGTATTTATAGCTCACTGGGGGTCAACAAGTTTGGACAGTTATAAGGTGGCCAAACTTGATCTGGAAGCATTTGAGCACTGAGTTAGCTTTTCAGGGGATCAATAATTAACCTCATGGCAGGGTAAGATTTCTGGTGTGGGCTGGAGCTTTGCAGGCCCCTTTCCTTCTGCAAAAGGCATTTAGGGTTAGCGAGGTTGAGAAGAGTGTTTCAAGAGGCAGCTCACCTGGGACAGGGAACTGTCTCTCATGAGGACACAGAAGTTTCAGCCCATTATAGACAACCTCACAGCAGTGCAGAATTCCTATCAGCCTTATCCCTTGAAGTCACAGGGAATTGCTGTCCTTAGGAAGAGAAATTTGTTTGCTCCCTACTGCTGGAGAGAATCTGGCCTATAAACTTGATTAGTATGTCAAAATTATTAGAACCTCTTTAAAAGCAAGTAGGAAATTGTCTGGAGCAGCAGATGACTATATCGTGTTTTGATTCCAGGAGAGAGTTCTCTGACTTGATGGAGAAGTTTGGCTCTCAGAGCAATACAGGTTCAGCACGGAGTTCTCCTGTTCTGCATAGCGGAAGTGAGTACTGATGTCTGATGTGGATGTTGTCAGCACCACAGCTGCCTGAGCTTGATGTGCCCTTGTGTGAAAAATGGAAGTCCCTCTGTCCTTCTGCCAAGGCAATTTTCTTTACTCAAGTGCTGTTTTGAGGGAATTTTGATTTGTTAACCTACTCTTGTCAGTGATACATGTTTGGGTGGAGGATTGAAGGAAAAAAAGTCCTGCTCATCATTATTAGAAGCACTTTGATGCATCCTGGGTCACAGAGCAAAGGTGTATGAGCAGTAGAGCCTGTACAAACCAAGAAATGCCAAGCAAGCAAGTGAACCAGCTTCCTTGTGGTGAATAAAGGAGAATGGGTTGGAGTTCTAACAGCTCTCCAGATCCCTGACCTACACTTTAACTGTAATACTGGACCTAGAACAATGCCTCTGCATATGCTGCTTTCTGCTAGGGCTTCAAAGCGTTTCAGTGTGGTGAATGATTATTTTTCTTTTGCAAATCAGGAAATGGTCAGAGACGCACAACAATGTTAGCCTGGGTCATAGACCAGCATGTCAAATCATGTCTCTGTCTGTGGGGAAAGGTGTGTCTCTGGCTTGGTATATCCCACCCAAAAGGCTGCCAACCCTTCTGCAAAGAGGTAACAGTCACAAGCTGAGGTTGTCTTAAGAAGGCAAAATGCCCTTTACGAGAGGAATATACTGGTATCTTTAACAAGCACATGTTTTTCCTCCAAGTAAAGAGGTGTTCAAATTGTGTCAACCCTTGGTGGTGGAATAGAGTAGGAGGGTGGTACTGGAGTGTTTGGATTACTTGGACTAATTTTGTCTTTGCTGTTCAGGTCGATATCTGGAAAGTACATCCTCGGGGTCCTCCTCCCGTTCGCAGAGTCCGCTGCTCCTGAGCCCTGCGAATTCTCACAGCCCGGTCATCGGGAACTCGGCCCACTCTCCTCACTCACAGTATGTACATGGTCGCACAGTGTAGGCCCACCACAGCCTGCCTGCTGATTGACCCTTTTGTACAAATTTTGTACATTTTTTTTCATAATTTAAATGGTCTGCTATGACAAGTCAGTTGGACAAGTGTCAATCAAGGTTTATATTCATCAGTTTCAGTGAGCAGCTAACTGTAGCTTGTTGGACTGCTTGATTTCCGGATCCTTATTTTGCATGGTGTACAGCACCCCCTTCTAAAATGTATGTTTAAGAAGTTCCTATGTGATTTCAGCCAAAAGTGAGGTATTCCAGACCATTGGTCAGTCATGATGATCATTGAATATTTAATATATTCAATATGTTGTTTAGGAATAGATCCTGTAAATATTTCCAGTGTTTGAATGGTTGGTTTGTGTAGCCCTGTGTTTTCTACACCATTATATCACCATAATGACTTACAAGGCATTTGCCTGAAAAGCTTCCCCGATGAGACAGTTAATATGTTTGGAATGTGCTTAACTATATATTTGCTCAAGTTCTTGCCCTCTAAAAGTTAGGAGAAGCCATGGTTAACAGCCATCTGAGAGGTCAGTACATATCATCTTTTTAAACTATCACAAGCTGAATAATTCAGTGATGCTACTGGTGCCTCCAGAAGGTGATTCTGAACTGCATACCTTGCTGCTGACACGTTTACACCAGGGCAACAAGAGTGCAAACATTGCCCCCTAAATTCAAACATTTCAGTTGCTCTTTGCATTGGTGTAAAGAGAGGTTGCCTATAAAAAGGGCATCCCTTTGTGTCTAGACCCCATTCTAGAGTGTGTGTTATCATGTGGTTGTCTGTCCTTTTTATATTTCACAAGATCAGAGGTTTGGACAGAGCTTATGGTCTGCAGAGTCTGGTCTCCGGGTGTTTGGGGTTGCCCTCCTTAAGAAGGACACATTGAAGGGTGTCAGTTGTCTTAGAATAGAGACCATTAGTTCTCAGAGCCTGCTGTTTTTCTTCCTTTGCTAATATAAAAAAGTCAAGTCACTGGTAAAGAGAATCAGGCCTTACTGCAGACACACTAAATCCTCTTGGCAGGTAACAACTGCCACATGCTAAGTATCAGCTCTTTATTAGGGATTTGCAGAGGACAAATATTTGGTACCAGGGGTTTAAGCTGCTTTCATAAAGCGAGAGACCCTTGCAGAGCAGAGACCAACTCATCTATTTGGCAGCTGGTTTGGATAAACTGGACATCATTGCTCCACAATTAACTGCCTTTATGCTGCAATTAGTCTACAGGGGACCTAGCTTGACAGCATCTTTATTCAGAGGGCTCAGGTTGCTATTCTTGGGAGAAACAAGGGCCATTTGAAGTTACTGACTGTGCTGAGCATTTGCTGCAGGCTACAGAGATATAACTTAGACCAGGTACAGTCATGGTCTTTGCATCTGGCTGAAAGGGTTAAGTACCCTGCCATCTATTACCTGAAGGCTTTATCCTCCTTGCCTTTCACAACAAACCCCAACTTGGACCTGTGAGCACTCCTTGCTCGCAAAGACACAGCCAGGCAGTACAGCTTGAACTGCCTCCACTTGTTTCTTGGTGCTGCTGTGTCTTTGCTCATCACTATTTCATTATGTATAAGTTCTTACACTCTGGTCTCTCATCACGATGGTATCCAAAGTCCTTCCATCTCATTAAGCAGTGTTACTCGGATATGATTCAGTCTCTCCACAGATTGACTATCTGACATTTTGATTTGGATGTAGCATTTTAATGCTGTGTTTTGTTGTATTTTCCCAGAATATTTATTTTGGAGATGTTTTTCATATGATTAAGATGCATAAAGCCCCTTTGTTCCACATAACCTGGTGCCTTTCCCAGCACCCTGCTGCTAGTTTGGAAGGGTGCTGTCAGTATTGCTCTTTCACTGTTGTGTTTGACCATTGCTGATGGTATTGGTGATGATTTTGATACTGGAAGTTGAAGGTTATGTGATATCAAAATATCATGTGCAAGAGAAATACTCAGTAAAACCAGCCAGGTATAAGGCTGGTCCTGGACCTTTGCTCTGCCATTAATGGAAGCTCAGTAACTTGCTCACGCTCCTAGCACAGCTGCTCGTTGTCCTGTGCCATGCTCCATTTGAGAGGAAACCTCCTCCTCATCATTTAGGATCCCATCGATTCTTTCTTGAAAGCTTCTATTTGCTGTGATCCTATCCAGCCCTACCTGTCTTAGGGTAGGTCAATGAAGTCTCTGGCCTCCTACAAATTCTCTTACTGCTACCTCTTCTTTCCCATATAGAGCCACCTGCCATGATTCTGATGGTGGCCTGCTGGGTCCTGTTTAGCAGGAAGGTCTTTGAGTGTAGAGTTTGGTTTTCTTGTCACTTCTCCATGTGGTTTCAGTCAGTGCAGAGTCCTTGAGCCTTGACTGGGTGAGTCATTAGTACTATAGAAATAAATGAATGTGGTAGTTATTGCCATAAATATGCTCAGGTTTTAAGACATCTTGCAAGGTTTTGAATCCAAACCTTGGTGAGACAAATTCAGATGAGTGTCCTGAGTGTCACTTTGCTTGTTTAAGTGCTGCTCATGGTAGACCAATCTGTAGATTCCTGTCTAGTGTTCTAGGCAAGTGTAGCTGGATTTGAATGAAAACTGCATCAATTCTTTGTATGCTTCTGGCTACAGCAACAAGGTGACAAATGCACACTGGCTAAACCTTTTATTTGAAAATTAAAGAGAAAAATAAATAAGTATTCCTCAGCATTTATATGTATCCAAGCCAAACATATTCATGATGTTAAGCAATGTCTGCCAAGAAACTGGAGTCATTATCTCCTCTTTCAAGATGGGGAGGAAAAAAAAGAGGGGAAAAAAAAAAGGTTGAGCGAAGTTAGAAGAGGGATACTAGGAAGGAAAATCAGGCAGAGTATGTTTATTGTCATGGGAGATAAACCAGATCGCCCTCGAGTCACCTGTTAACATCTGTCCTTTGCAGTTGCTCTATTGAATCAGGAATCCAGAGCATCTCTATAGCAAAGTCCTCCGGATTGGGGCTGACAATCAGTGGTGGATCCAACAGGCCTGATGGCCCCATGATTTATGTTCAAGAGCTTATGCCAGATGGTGACTGTTACAAGGTAAGTCAGAGTGGAAATCATCAGTCTGCAATGGGAACCTCTCGTAGAAGCTGTAGCTGTTCTGAAGCAGCATTTCTAATAAATAGATAATATACGTACTACATGGATTAATGAAGGTTTATATAGCAGAAAAGGGGCTTGGGCAGAGGGACATTCCTTTCTATTCCTCTGACTTTCTCCCTCCTTGTTTAGGATGGTCGGCTCCGTCCTGGTGACCAGCTAGTTGCTATCAATAAAGATTCTTTGGTAGGCAGCACATACGAAGAGGCCAGGAAAATAATTGCAAAAACCAAGATCAGGTAGGCATGTATCATGTTTTTTATCATTGTAATGGTTCTGTTGTCATGATGCTGCTGAGTCTTAGGTAGAGACACTTCATGTCGTATCAGTTTTTGGCTTCAAGAAGCATCAGTCATGTCAGTCTTGAATGATGGCTAAAGATGGTTCTGAGAGGTGGTCAGATGAGGGAATCTGAATAAATAGTCATCCTGAAGTGTCATCTAGGCCTTTCCGATATGTGGTCCTTGCGAACATCCCCAGTAACAGCTCTGCAATGGAAGTTAAGTTCAGAAAGGCAACTCATCTGCTACAGATCCAGCTCTGCTGTGTAGATTACGTGCATTTAAGTGAGATTATCATGGAGAAAAGAAACACTGATATAAAAGTTCTGAAAATGTAAAATTTTTTTTCTTTAATAAAATATTCTGGTTTTGTTGTTTAAGACATGATGAAAACACAGAAGTGGCCTTTATTCCTGGAAGGGGACGGTTACATCCTGGAGTGTCAGTTCATAACAACATCCACTCGCCACCTCCAAAGGCTGTGGGAAATGGTCTAAATTCCTGCAGACTGAAGGTCCATGTGAGGTCCCCAGAGGTAGGCTGAAGTTCATATCTAAGGCTACAGTCACCAATCCTGTCATCTCCTTCACTGGTCAGAAAACCCTCTTTTTAGGCACTCAGTGGTAGCCTTTCTGGACCAAGAAATGTGTGTAATGGTGATTTACATGGCCATGTTTATGCTTGTTTAGAGCCAAGTACTTTTATATCAAATATTGTTCCTTCTGTCTTGGGTTTGAGATGGCAAAGGATCTGTGGAGGTAATGACAGGAGTTTTATGTCTATGGCCTGCATGGCTTGTTTGAGAAGTCTCAGACTGGGGAAAGGCCTTCCCTAATGAGATAGCTTCCAACATCTACCCAACACCAACCATAGGGCTGGAAGGGATCTTGAAAGTCTGTCTGATCTAGTCCCCTACCCAAAGGCAGGAACAGTGTCTTCTTCCCAAAGACCTCTGGTGAGGACGAATCCACAACTGCTTAAACAGTCTATTTCTATTCTTCCCTATCCTAATGATAAGGCAGGAGGTTTATTCCCTTGTGAGGCCTAGCTCCTTACTATATTTGCAGAGGCAAGTGCTTGAACTGTGCGTGGAGAGACGGGATTTAATGCTACATCTTTAGGCCTGTGGCTGGATTGTGCACACTTGTTGTTTCTGTCTTGGCTTATTGCAATTCCTGGTGTAACTTCTGCCCTTTGCCCTTCTCTAGAAAGGCATTTGGTGAATTAGGCTTGTATTAGAGAGAGTTTGTGTGGAGAGTCCTCCAACACAAGCCTAATTCACCAAACCTCTTTCTTTTGGTGAGTCTTACACAGCCTCTTATGGTGCCTGTAAGTGCTCAGGACTAATCCCAGGTCTCTGTCTGCATATAGGTTGCTAGCTGTGGAAGTACTATGTCGCAGTGATCCTCAGTTTATCCACACTGTCAGTCTTTTTTTTCTCTTACTTGTGATTTAGCCAAGATCTGGCATTTGGCACTGTGTTTCAGCTTCCTGTTGTGCTCGTTCTGGAAGTATTTTAGACAATAACACAGCTGGCCCTGACCCGAATCAGGACCTTACTGAAGTTTTAGATGCAGGGCTTTAGAGAAAACCTCTATGGAGAAAATGCACAAGGTCAAATTCATCCTTGACTTTCAATTACAGTTAGAGAGTTGAGTTTTCTGTGTGCAAAGAGATTTTTGGAAAGACTTGGCATGGACCTGTGCCAAGTGTTTAGAAAACAGTCTCTTTTGGCCCATCTGCACAGGAGGTATACCTGGTGCCTTTCTAATTTATGAAGCTGTGCGACAGCTAAGATGGTCTTTCTCCAACTTCTCTATCTTTTTGCCTATATTTACAACAGCAGATTCTGCTCAGCAATTTTTCTTTGCCTTTTTTTTTTTTTTCAGAATAGACATGAAAATCTCTTTCCTGTGCCTTCTTTGTCACCAGACATTTGCCTGCCAGAGCTCACTGTCTCAGGTAAGAGCCTGTTCCCTGTTCTGTTTGAGTAGCTGACAAACATTTATAGCCTCAGCTCCTCAGTGCTAAAGATGATTAAATTAATTTTGATCAGTGTTTAGACTTCTGTAGTGGAATCTAATGATGTGATAATGAGACTTAGCCCACTAGGACCCAGGGAAAGCAGCAGCCTTGCTTACTCGTAGGCATTAACTAATTAATGGGCAGTAATTATGTCCATGGTGGTTTGTTCACAGTAGTGAAATGCTTTACTAAGGCAATCAGAGGATTAGAAATAGGAGATGACGCTTATTCTACTCTCTGCCTGTGGTTCATTTGCAGTATTGTCTTTACTCTTCCCCAAAGATCATATCAGACTTTTATCTATGGGGTCTCATTGTAGGTAACAGCCCCTTATGATGGAAACGAATGGTCCCTGGAGACACAGGATATGTTTTTGTTTGTTTTTTTGTATGAAAAACAGACAATTAATGATGCTTGCAATGTACAAGACAGCTCCAGGTATTTTACATGTATTAAGACTGCCTGCAGTTCCAACCAGGAAACTGCCTTCTGATGTGATTAAGTCAGCTAGATTTGTCTTGCAAGCTTTGCCTTTTTTTTCCATACATTTTCATGCTGTATTTTTTCCTCATGCTCAGAGTCACATACTCAGTTCTTAACTTTGGCCACAGTGTAACTTCACAGTTCCTTTAGGAATAACTGGAAAGCACATTAAGGCCTCTGATCCGGTGTCCTGTGAAATGACCTTTAGCAAGATACCACATATACCTGTGGTATGAAGGTTAAATCCACCTGAGGGGCAAGACAAGCCTTCTTATCACATTTTAGTGAGTCTCTTGGAAGTGCAGGGCAGTCTGTTTTCACACATTTGCAGGTCAGGACTAATTTCTGGCCACAAATAAAAGTCCTTGCTCCTCTATGCACTGCCAAAGCACCTGCTTTGCTTGTGAATCCACAACCAGGCTGTCATTTCCATATGAGGTCCCAGAGGATTAGCCAGAGATGTAGAGATAGATTAAGACTGAGCTTTATGAGGTAAATTTTGTTGCAGGGTCTATATAACTGGGGTTAGTTGGAGATGTAGGTGTGCATGAAGTGTGTTGGATGAGGTGTGCATGGCACAACCTGCACTGTCCTCCAAGGATGTGCTTGCTCACCGTGGGCCCTTCAAGTTGCTTTGGCCTGTCTGCTCCATGCTGTGAAGACACTAGAACAAGACTACTTTTGTATCTGTCCTCACATCCCCTAGAATCCTGTAACCTCCATCTCCCTCAGGACGTTATGTAGCCACCACTGACACAGAGGTGCGTGGGTGAATGAAGCCCTGGGTCATATAGGACATACAGCAATAACATAATCAGAGAGTCATCTAGGGGATTTTATTGCACAAGTTATGTGGAATGCTGAGAAGGCCTTTCGTCAGTGCTGTCATCCATGAACAGACACTTTGAACACGGGCTTTGCAAGAGCAGCGGCCACGCTTGGAGTCTGGAGCAGGGGCCGCAGCCTGTTCGAGGGTGCCACCCTGGATATGTCTCTGCTTAGAGCTGACGGCAAAGCCCCGTGGCACTAATCCCGATTAGCCACGAGTTGAAGGGTAAGAGCTCTGCCCTTGAACTTGCACAGTGAAGTGCTGGTGGCCAGTCCAGGGAACTCATTACCTCTTCCTGCTTCCCAGCCGCTGGCATTAGCAGAGCGGATGAGTCCTGGGATTAAAAGGCTTATGCTTGTGCTGCAGCTCTGCTGCTTCCTGTTGCTTTTTCCTCGTGTGCAGTCTCTGGCTCTGCCAGTCCAGGAGGGTGAGGCTGAGAAGCGCTTGAGTGGCTTAAAAGAAATGGTCTCATTCAACAAGTCTTGCGTGCTCACGTCGCACACAAGGTTCTGAAAACCCTTCCCTCCCCTCACCAAGTGTGAAGAGCAGGACTTTGACTCGAATTCCTGAGCAGCAGCTGCTCTAGCGTATTTGTTAATCAGATACCAGCAGGTGAAAGAGTCATCCTCTTAACCGAAGAGTTTCAGCTATTGTGGTCTCAGCTACCCTCCCTCTGCACCTGCATCTCAGAGCTCGCAGTTAATTCTACTGCGGCAACTTACATGTGCAACTGAGTGAAAAGGTCTCTATACTTCTGCAGTTTTGCAGAATATATTGCACAGATATTTTCCCTATTGATTTTAATCTCTGAATTTCCTTTTCCGTGGGGGTTGTGAAGGACAGGGATGAACTTTATGAAATGTTGTTACTTTTGTGTTTCAGTTCTGCTAGATCAATGAAAGCAGACAAGGTCCAAACTCATTTTAAGATCACCATAGCTACAGACCCCAAGACTCAGTTTAAAAAAAAAAAAAGTGACTAGACATTTCCAAAGTGATGTTTTGCAAGCATAGGTGCTTAGACAAAACATGATTTCAGATTCACACTTTGACATCTAGTCTTTCCAGTAGTTGCTGAGTTCAGGCTTAGATCCTGTTTGAATCTGGCCTGTGTGCACACACATTGTATTTCCTGCAACCAGAGTCTCGAGTCCTTTGCCGAAGTGCTCTGCCATTAATGTCTGCCTCTTGCTTTTTAGCACCTGCTTCAGCATCTAATCAGAAAGCAGCTTCGGGCAACAAACCAAAAGTAGCACTGGATCCCCATATTCGTCTCAAGGATGGAAAACTGGAACTGGTAAGTGGAACAACTCCCTTTCTTGAAGGCAAGGTTTCTTCTCAACCCTCTCCAAAACCGTGGCACGCAGCAAAGTACCTTTCTTCCCGGTGTCAAAAAAAAAAAAAAAAAAAAAAAAAGCTCATGTAAATGGTCTTATCCTGTTGTTTTTCTGTGAAGAAATGTCTATGGGCTGGAGGGAAGGCTAGGAGAGAGGGAAGCAGATGAGAGGTACCAAGGAAGGCATGGTGCTCCATGGGGAATGCTCTCTGTTCAGTTACGACACTGTCCGCACTGGGACTACGTTGGGCTGGTGAGTGTGCTGATGGAGCAACATAAAGACATAACAAATGGTCTTATCCTGTTGTTTTTCTGTGAAGAAATGTCTATGGGCTGGAGGGAAGGCTAGGAGAGAGGGAAGCAGATGAGAGGTACCAAGGAAGGCATGGTGCTCCATGGGGAATGCTCTCTGTTCAGTTACGACACTGTCCGCACTGGGACTACGTTGGGCTGGTGAGTGTGCTGATGGAGCAACATAAAGACATAACTTAGGGTGGTCAGTGCAGGAAACATGATCCTGAGCTGAGAACAGACTGAGACCTTTCGGGTTTGATTCTTCCACTTATGTCATATTGAGGCATGTGAGGATTGTCAGTTATCAGCATTGGGGTTAGTATGTCGCTTGCTTTCCAGAGGGATTAAAAACACAAACCTGAATGCAAATGGCCTAAGAGAATCAGGTCTGCCTGCTCACGTTATAGCACTTGGTCAGGGATCTAATCTGCACGTATATCTTTCCCACTGAACAGTCTGCGCCCGTCTAATTCCGCTTTATTCTAATCACTAGCCCAACCGGGCTGTACTGGGAATATTAATAGCTCAGGTGATGTGGAATATAGATACAGAAGCACGTTCAAAACACTGATTTCATGATTAGCATCACGCTGCTCATGTGATGCAATTAAATTTCAATCCTAATCTGATTAATGAGATAGAGGCATAATAGTCTGCTAGCAAGCTGTATCACTGGAGTCTGGAAGAAAAATGGATCTTAACTCTTCGACTGAATTTGCTTGAGATCGAGTCATACCTCAGCAATTCTAAAGATAAAAAGAGAGCATGCATCACGGTGAAACACCCTGATCACATCTGAAGGTGCATTTGAATAATCTTGGTTTGTCTTGGCTGCTTTTCAGTGCTGCAGGGAGATCCAAAAGTTTGTGGCTGGCAGTCTTATCTCTCATGGATGTGCTGCTTTGGGTTCTAAGGACTCTGGGTGAAGTCAGCCGCCCTTCTCCACTTTGTCAGCTTTTGGCTGGGCTTTCCAGGGACGCTTTCACTGCTGGGGCAACCTTGGGGCAGCCTGGTGTGGGAATTAGGCTGAAACAGGAGATGTGTCAGAGTAGTGAGTAAAGTCTCGGAGTAAGGGCAGTGTTCGCAGGGCTGGAGATCCAGGCAAAATTGTTGCTTGTTTAATCTTTTAATGGAAAATATATTCAAAGAGTGTCATCAAAGGGCAGGGAGTGGAACTGGCCACTCGCTGGGGAAACCCAGCAGAGGTGAGGGTGCCCTTGGAGCTGGAGGAGGCACCGGAGCGGCGGGAGCCTCCTCCGCCCCGGGCGCTGCTTGGCTGCTGGTGGGAGGGGTGCGACCGTACCCGTGTGCAGGGAAGAAATAACTATGGATAGGACAAGAGGAAATGGCCTCAAGTTGTGCCAGGGGAGATTCAGGTTAGATACTAGGAAAAAAATGCACAGAAAAAAGTGGTGAAGAGTGGAACAGGCTGCCCAGGGAGGCAGTGGAGTCTCCGTCTTTGGCAGTGTTCAAGACAGGCGCTTAGGAACATGGTTTAGCAGGCATGGTGGGGATGGGTTTATGGTTGGACTCGATCTTGAAGCTCTTGTCCAGCCATTATGATTCTATGAAGATGACTAAAAGTTAGGGATGCGGCACACACATGAGCTGGCATTTGCTGCCACCCGATGGCCAATGCAGCCCTAGCATTTTTACTGCTCCAGCCTCCCAGGAGGTCCAGGAGACAGCACACAGGCAGAGATTTTCTTCTAAGCCTGCGTAATTCTTGCCCAGAATTTGGGACTGCATTTTCTCAGTGATTTCCTGCCTGTTATGGATATAGCACCAACTCCTCTTTGGTAGGAGGCTCGAAGGACACTTGGCTCCCTCGTTTAGGAATAGCTGTTATGAGAGACAAGCTGCTGGGGCCCAGCAGGAGCCCTGCCGTGGGGCGAGACGGGCATCGCTCTGCGCTGGCAGGAGGCAGAGATGGCAGGGAGAAGAGCAGGAGGCTTCTTCCCGGATTCTCTGCTGAGCTTGACCTTATTTACTAATCTTTTACCTGCTGTCAGCAGAGGGGTTTTTTGTTTTGTTTTGGTAGGTTTATCTCCTTTACAGGTTCTCTGAGGTTGAGTTGATGGGACAAATATCATCGAAGATGGGAAATCTCACCTAACAAGAAAGCAAAAGGTGCAGTGATGAGGCCAAATTTTCAAATGTCTTCTGTTACCACAGAAATGCTGTAAATACTCCTTATCTTCTCAGATACCTGCTGCATTCCTGGGCAGTAAGAGTAAGAGAAGAGCCTGGCAGCTCTGCTAGCTTTTAATAAAGCTCTGTTTATAATAGCTGCAAATCTGTTTGTGTGAAATGTTCTTGGACATTAGGGCAAGCATGCCGCTACAAATGTAGGAAAGGAGGAGGACTGGAAACCTAGTCCAAGTCATTCCTTTAGGAGGCATTGCCTGAAAAATTACTTCTAGGAGAAACACAGCACTGAGTGTCCTGCCAGCACCTCCTTCAAAGAGTTGCTTTTTGAGGATTCTCTTTGCAGGTTTGTTGTTTTTGCCACAGGTTCTGCAATATCTTGGTCTGGAAGTGACTGAGGAGAAGAAGAGGCAGTTACGGCAAAGTTTGACAACAGACTCGCAGGGAACAGTGGCCTATGGAGGTGAGCAGGCAGGTCTGTGTGTGTAACAGGGCCTTTTTCACCTTTTCTGTTGCTCTGTTGATGGCTGAAAAAGGAGAGCTGCATCTGCCGAGATGTGGCAGGTACAATAATTCTCTGGCTGGGCACTGTTGTAGCCTCTAAACAGCTAAGAATGAGTCACAAAAAGGAAAAGGGCTTTTGTGCAAAAGGAGAATGAGAGCCAGTAGTGTGATGACTCATTTGACTTAAATCCTCAGCTTGCCTCCCAGGAACTAGGTAGGAGATACTCAGAAAAAGAAAGCTCTGTTTCTTCTGAAGTGCAGAACGTAAGTTACCTGTTCCCTGGAAGTCTCTGTGCTTTTCACTAATGACTCCTATCAGATAGAATAGCCTTGCAAAGTGCACTGCCTGTTAGAGCTAGTGATGGTTATGGTGATTGGGCTCATGGTTTGTGGCAGTGGAAATCAAAATGATTAGGGGTATTTGGCAAGCCTGCCCTTCCCAAAGGCTCACACTGCTGCCGTAGCTCCTACGGAGCTGTGGCCCAGGGCTGAGCATGGGATGTGCTAGGGTGTAAGGTCTGGTCTGCCCTTCCCAGCCTCTTGCCTTCTGCTTTTCTCCACAGTGTCTGAAAGCAAAAAGAATCCTGATTGTCAGTGCTGTCAATTTAACACCATTTCTAAGTACTGAACTCTGTGATTTAGTTTTGTTTATTCCTGACTCAAGAAATGGCAGCAGTCGGGATGGTGAAGTGTGTGTCATTTCCAGAGAAATCTTAGTTTGGATCAAAATTATAGAACTCTTAGAAACACAGTGATGGTTTCTTTTTTTTTTTTTTTTAATGTTTCATTCAGTATTATCAAGTCAACTTATTTCAGTTTGAGGGGCTTGTCAAAGAGCTGCCGAATTTCAGAAAGGAAAAATGTTTGGCATCACTAAACCCGATCCGCTTGGCAACGAGTGAATTTCCTCCAGATCTGTGGCACTTTCTCCTGGACGCGTGCAGTACGTTTTTCCCTTTCAGCCCGGTAACAGCTCTGATTCTTTCTCACAGATTTTCTCCAAGCACTCAGGGATCTAATGCGGGATGAGCTGGATGAGGCCGGCCTCGACTCCAGCACAATGCTCTTCACCCAACACGAAGTGGCCAGTTTGCTGGACACGTCTGCTTTTCACTCGCTGGTCAGTCAGAGTCAAATGTTCCTCCACTCCCAGCTGCAGGTGACCTGCCTGCAAAGCCCTCCTTAAGACTAAGGTTTCTGTATGTCCATCTATGAAGTGATGAGCAGCTGATGTGTTCCTAAGTCCAGAAGTTTTGTTAGGGCCTTCGGGCCACACTGTGGCCGCAGGAGTGGATGTGTAGAATCAATCACAATGCTATTGCTCTTGAGACATAGCCTTGAAACAATCTGAGAAGGGAAAAGCTAAACTTCCATTTTCTATTTTTTCTAGAGTTATAAAGAAAAGATATCCATTAGTCATTCTGAGTATAGGAAATCGAGTAAAAGACCTCAGACTTCTCATTTTTATAGGTAAACACCTATGGGAAGATCTGAAGGAAGAGGCCTGTCCTTCTCGGTGATGTAGAAGGAGAATTAACCATAGTTAATCAATTCCAATTAATTTTATTTTGCTCACAAAATGAGAATGAACTGTGGCACAGTTATCCCGAGTGTCGTGGATCACAGACTGGAATCCTTTGTGGGGAGAAAAACCTGAAAGTAGGATTATTTAATGTGGCATTTGTTCTGTTTTGTACCAATGGAGACCCTTTTCCAAAGGGATCTTGGTTAAGTGCTGTGCTGGATATGGAAAGCAATATAACCACCTGCTCTTGGAAGCCTCAGTGGTGCTCGTTTGCTCTCTGCCTTCCAGACTTTTGATTCTCTCCACTGCAATGGCAATGAGGAGCTGGAGCAGCTGCAGCTGGAAATGACAGATCTGCGGCAAGAAGTCCGGCGGCTAAAGGTAGAACCCGTCGCTTGAGCGGCTTTTTGTGGCTGGTGCCTGCTGCTGTGACTCGCTGGAGTCGCACGCTGGAGTAGTCTGAGCAACTTGGCTCTCCTGCGAAGTCACTGCTTTGCATTCAGTGCTGCCTTTGGTACAAAGGAGGGTCATGGGCTCTGCTCTCTTTAATTGGGACTCTCGCATGTGCTCTTGTTCAAATGAAAACCTATTCTGCTGACTGTGGACAGTTACTTTGTGTTAACAGAGAGTAAATTGTATTTTTAAATACCAAAAGCATGTTACACAAGTAAGTCAAATTTGTGAATAGTAGAAACACTAGCTGTCTGCGTGGCAGTGGCACGGTACACTGTTGCTGCAAAATAGTGCTCTGGGGGTGGGAGTCAAAATACTGGGGTGTCTTCCTGGGAATCACTTTTTTAATCCAGTGAAAATGTTTTCTCTAGTCTCTCCTGAAGGAGGTAGAGACCAGTAAGAAGTCAATGGAAGATGAACTTCAGAGGCTGAACCAGGTTCGTGAGCAGCCCATCCGTGAGGCAGTAGCTGTGGCTCACACTTCTGATTACTTCAGTCCTTCAGGCCTGCCCTGGCCTACCACAGGAAATAAACTGGAGCCTCTTCCCACACAGATCCAAGCCTGCAGCTTGGATCCCACCCATGGCACTGTCACAGTTCTTACTGATCGTGTGTCTCGGGCAAGGCCAGCACCGCCTGGAGGATCTCCCTACAGGTGGCTTTGTGCACTCGTGTCTCTGGAAGAAGAACCCGAGTCCTGGGTCTCTGTACTCAGGAACCAAACAGGGATTATTTGGCATAGATATGGGCCTCCATCTCAAGGGAAAACAAAGATACTGGGCAACAGTATGACCATGATCAAGAATTTTTTTAAGGTCCTTCGGAGGCAGCAGCTATTGCTGCCCTGGCGCAGAGCGATGCCAGCGACGTGTTTAGTGGGCAAAAATCTTGGTGGGGGGAAAAGGCAGTCCCTAGTGCTGGGGCAGGGCCTAGGAAGCTGTTAGGGTGCCTGTGGTGAGGACGCAGGACACTATATTGACCAGAACTCCTTGCTCCTTCCAGAAAGCACTGGGCTTCCTCTCTGAGAACCGGACCCTGCACAACAAGCTGCAGATGGCAGAAGTGGTGCAGAGACAGGCGCACAGCGCAGAGCAGGACTACGAGGAAGTGATCCACTTGCTGGAGGCTGAAATTGCAGAACTGAAGACGGAGCTGGCGGGGAAGAAAGCAAAACACGTCTCTGAAATAGAGGTAATGCAAGCCCTGAGCCCGCAAGGGCCTGTAAGTGAATGGAACAGACCAGTGGAAAACAAAACAAAACAAAAAAACAATAAAACCCAAGCTCCCAAGCTCCTCTTTTTAGTTATTGACTTCCCCACCAGCACCGCTACCTTTCTTTTTACAAATGAAAATGAATGGTGGCACTCACAGCCGTGATGTTGCACATAGCAACCACTGCATGATCTTTTTCTCTCTTTGTGTCCCAGGCCAGCAGGAGCATTATGCCTGCGCTGGAATTTGTATCGTTGCTGTTCTGCATTCCAAAAGGAAAGCTTTCCCTAAAAAAAAAAAAAAAAACAGACCCCAGCTAGAATTTTCCCTGATGACTAGTGCACATCCACTAATTCCCCACTGAAACTCACTTTTTTTTCTGTTTGGCCACTCCTTGCAGCAAAACCTCATCACAGTGCGAAAGCCTGAAATGAGGTGCTCAAGGAAAGGCATATGCCAAATCTTATGGTTCTCACTACCTCTGGCTGCTTTGGGAAGTTCTGCTGTTACCATGGAAGACCAACCATGTTCTTCTGTTGTTAGCACATGGCTTGTTATACGTTGGTGTTTCCAAAAGCCAGGACTGTAGTGTGGTAACCACTTCTTCTATTTCAGGGGGACATTCTGGAACTGAAAAGGCAGTTGTCCCTGGCTGATGGACAGTTACGAAAATCAGAAGTCTCACGGAAGCGCCTGGAGATCTGCAATAGGAAACTGCTCCTGTTTGTGCAGGTGAAGTACTGAACTGCCAGCTGTGCTGAGGGCACCACCCTATCCTGTTACCTTGAGAGCTGTTTTGCAAGTCCAAATCCTTTCCTGGTCCATAAGCAAGACTTAATTTTCTTTCATCTCATTCAGACTCTGTTGGTTAGGGAAACTCTTTGAGAATGAACTCATACACATACAAGCTGTGTAAACACAGTGGTGCATTATTTGCCCTGTGTGACTCTTGTTGCTCTGCTGCTTGAGAAGAGCCAGTCCCTGCTCACTGGTCCCTCTGGCAATCCCTCCTCTTCAGCACAGCTGCTGGGGCTGAGGCTTATTCTGAATTTCTGTTGGACCTGATCTAAATTGTGTTTAACATTCCCTTTGGGTAACTGGGCTGTTATTTCTCTGACTGTACGGCAAATGCAAACTCAAGAACAGTTTGCTGCTTCAGTGTTCTTTTTCTCCCAGCTTTTCTGGTGGATCACATGTGTAATTGCTCCAGCCATTTAGGTGGCTTTTCTTCCACTTTGTTACCTGTATTGGAAATACAGGCTTGTGTAATTAGTAAACTGGCTGGCATAGGAAGCACTAGGATTCAGTATACACAGATACAGTTGTCATTAGTCTATCTCAGGAGCTCCTGAAATCAATAGGAAACAGGCATGAAGGGAGGCATAGAAGCTGTGTCCTCTGCTTTGGTGAGGAAAGAATTAAATACCTCAAGACTGCAGTGCTGGGTACTGGCACACAAGTGACTTGGTGCTCGAGTTTAAAAATGGATTTGACTTTATCCTGCGGTCAAATGTCACTGGATTTTGACCACTGGAACAAAATATGTTCCTTTATATGTCCCCAGGTCATGTTTGAGAACTCACTACCTGTGCCCAGCAATGAGAGATAACATGTGCAGGCAGGACCCAGAAACCAGGGATTGCTAATAGTGCTGATCATGGGCTCCCTGAAATGTAACCTGCCAAAGTGTTCTTCAGAAGTGTGTTTTCATGTTGTATCTGGTATATTTTAGCGTTGGCATTAATATGCATAATTTAGATGTGTCTGTTTATTTGCATAGACTGTGAATGTTGCCTGTGTTGCAAAGAGCCTTGAGATATTAGCTTCAAGGGCAACGAATAAGCAGAAGCTGATTGCTGTCAGATTAAATCTGATCACCAGCAAACTGCCCTGGGGTTTGTGCTCAGGTATTATTTATTCCTACATGTTTGAAACCCTTTTCTTTTTTTTTTCTTTTTGTGGCAGAATGTTCACAAGGTCCTGAGCACATCCAGTCATTTACCAGATGAGAAAAGGTAGGAGGCAGCTTCTGGGAACTGTGAACAGAAACATGAAATGCCCTTTTTCAACCTTTCTCAAGGGAATGTGATCCATGCACTTCTAACCCAGAGTTTCTAACTAAATTGTCCCTTTGGAAAATAATTTGTTGTGAAAAGGTGATCTGGAGGCTATTGGTGGATCAGTGCTCAGAAGGCCTCCGTTTCAGACTGGCCTCTGATTTGGCCTTTTTTGAACATCGTAAGAGAAACACTTCTCCGATTAAGTTCATCTTCTTAGCAGAGATCCAGAGCAGACTGCATCAAAGCAGTGGAGCTGTGATGCTCCTGCTTTTCCTAGTATTAGGCAGTTCTTGACTTTAGAACCTGGTTCTTTTCTAACAGCAGTTACACAAGCTGATAGTGAGAGTGCAAGCAAAGAGCAGTTGAGACTCAAATGCATAAATGGTTACAGAAATACAGGCTTTTGGACTTTCCCCCAAGCTGAGCCCACCTCCTATCACTTGGGGAAAGAAGGCATCAGACCATCTATTTTTAGAGGTCTGTTTATTTAATTGATGAACTGTTTGAAAGGTACTGTCTCACCGGCAGTGACCAGTCCCATAAGAAAAGCTGTTTTTTAAGAACAGTGGTAAGGGGAAAAAGATTATAAAATTCCAAGATGGTTATTTCTAAGATAATGAAGGAAAACATTGTCAAGAATCTCAAAGAAATACTTTGCTGGTACATAACTGTCTGAAACACAATAATACAAATATGTTTAAAATCTGTGATTGAGAGATGGAGTTTATGTAATTTACATAGAATATCCTTCATAAGAGACTGGCCAGGATTTTAATGATCATTGTATAATAGAAGTATTGATGGCACTTTCCATATTTGTAAGAGTCAACAGTGAAAGAGAAGAGGATAAAACAGACGCAGTCTCAGATACATCTCTTCCATCTTCAGATCTTGTTGACCTTTTGCTATCAGAAGCTAAAGAGCTGCTAGCACCAATGCTCTCCAACAAGGATGGTAAGCACTAAATGAACTAGAGAAGCCTGAACCTAAGGAAGTCTCAAAGTTGTCAGTGTTATTTGCAGTTTCCACCACCTTCCATATTTATTCGTTATGCCAGTTAAGACTCCAATAAAGGTACTTGATTGTCACAGGCTAAATGAGATGTAATTTACATTCCATTCATGGGACTAATCTTTCAATCTGACATGCAAGCATATAGTGTAAGGAGTCAAAGGGTATGCCATGTGCCCAGAGCCAGAAGAAAGGCATTATCCAGAAAAGGAACTAACTGGGAAGAGGAGAGTTTCACAGAATCATAGTAATGCTGTTTGAAGGGGACCACTGGAGATCAGTAGTCTCCTGCTCCAAGTAGGACTACTGCCCACACTAGATCAGGTGAGCACTGGTTTTATGTAGCCAAGTCTTTAAAACCTCCAAGGTTGAAGATCTACAGCTTCTCTGCATAACGTCTTGCAGAGCTTTATTCTCCTTTACATAGAGAAGTTTTTCTAATGTTCACTCCGAACTTTCCAAAGTTCAGCTTTTAGCTTTTGCTCTCAGTTACATTTTCTGCCACTGTCAAGAGATTGGCTTTGACATCTTTGCAATTGCCATTGAACTGGTAGCACGTGCTGCTGGACTGCCTCTTAGTCTCCTCTTTGCCAGGCTAAATAAGCCCAGTTCCCTCGGCTTCCCCTCACGGATTATGTGCTCCAGGCCTCCCTTTGCTGGGCCTTGTCCAGTAGCCTTGATAGAAGGGACCTAAACTTGATTCTGTGGTTCGAGATATGACTACCCCAATGCTGTGAGGAGGGGGATAGTAACTTCTCCGTTTCCTTGGCATACAAGTCTGTCAGCCCAGACTCCCTTCCACTCAGATGTCTGCAAGTGGGAGAAAATTGGAGAAAAAAACCCTACCTCTGTGAAAGTCTAACATAACTTTCCCAGTTTGGGATTTTGAACTTAGTTGGTGGGCTGCAAACTTTCCTGGGCAGCAGTTGTTTGACTCCAGTTGTCTCTTTCTGTGCAAAAGAAGAGTTTATGATCTCCCCTTGTCATGATCAGGTGAGCACACAATTGTTCAGTCTTTGCTCTTTGATACCACTCTCCAGCAAAACATGCTGCCGTGACATTCTCATGCTAGAGCCCTTTCCCAAAGCACACCATGCAGAATACAACTGTAGTCCTTAATGAGTACTGCTAATATATGAGTTTGTCAGTGTTTCCAGAGTTCCTGCATCATTTAAATGTGCATTCCTCATGATACAGCAGCGCTGCTTGTATCAGGGATGTTTCCTAAGCCTTTGCTTACACTTTGCTTGTGTGCTTACATTTGCAGCTTTGCCATGCGACTGGGACCAGTGCCTGCCTACCGAAGGAATCTCAAATTACAAGGAGTAGGTGTCAAGAGTGCTTGGTCTGTAATTCTGACAATTCATATAATAAATTCCTGGTTTTATTAATCAAAAATTTCCCTGACAACTCTTGACCATATCATCTAGCAGAGGCCTTCAGATGATCAGGCTGGGGAAGCAGACAGCAAGATCCTCCTGCCCAACATAGTGAAGTATAGTGTGAATTCTTGGATCTTTTGGCTTAGTTCTAAGAGGCCTTTTTTCCTTTTGGCCAGATGAAAATTTATACTTCCATGGCTTGTCTAACAGGCATTCTTCTGGATGAGTATGAAATCTGAAGCATGGGAAAAATCCTCATTAAATGTGTTAATATTTTAACATGGAACCAAGATGCTGTGCAGTCCCTGCCAAGGATAGTATGACAGTCATGGCTCCATTTGGGTCGTCTTCCTCTTCATTTACTTAAAAGATTTCAGGGACATTTTTCTTCTAAACAGAGCCATATCCTAAAGATATATGCTTAAAGGTGTTTGTTTTTGAGACCTAAATGTCTAATACCATAATGTTAATTGATCGCTTCACTTTACCTTAAGAGGTAGAAAATGAACATTTGCAAACATGCCTTCATGATTACAAAAAGCCTTTTCAGACAGAACAAATTCTTAATGTCCAGTACAACCAAATAGCCGGGCAAGATTTGAGGCTTCCCTTTTTCCTTCCTTAATAACAAATCTTGTCTCCACGGCATCTTCTGTGTCCTTTTCCCCAACTACATAAAATATTCTTCATTTGCAGCCATCTTCATCAGAAGACCACGTGGCCCCCTCCCTCAAGCCCGAACAAGAGTGATGAGCCACAGCCCCAGAGTTCAACCAACAAGCTGCCTGAGAAGCCTACATAAATCTCCCACAACTTTCTCTTGCTCAGAACTGTGCATATTCATAACACAGCTGCTCTCCTGGGAGATGGAAAGAACACACAACTGGTGGTTCAGCTTCCTGGCAAACCGGAGGGAGAAACAAGCTTTCTAAAAAGACTGATTCTTCCTGAACAGCCGCTGAAGACTTGGCACCCTCCCCTGCAGGTCTACCTCTGAGTTATCGTACAAGGCTATTTTCTCTTGGTTTTGCAGCTTTGTAGGAAAAAATACTTTCAAGTGGATACAAATGCCTGGATTTCACTGGCAGCCTTTTAGAGCTCGTATCCTGCGTAGAAAGAGGAGCATGAACTTACCAAGGGACTCAGGGGTCTTAAACAGATTCCTTTTGGTATTTCCTATGAAAAACCAAAGTACACTTAGTGACTGTAATAAAGCCAGTTTAATCTGTAGTGTCCTAGCTGTTTTGGGATAGGTACGTTTATTTTTACTTTTTGTATAGCTTACCCAGCTGCAATGCCTGACGTGGAGAGCGCCATCCCTGTGATCCCTTGGAGAAAGGGGCAGACACTCCCACTGACGTAGCATTACTGAGCACCAAACATCTTTGCAACACAACAGAGCACACATGAACATACTTAAACACAGGCCCAGGGTGTCACTTGGAAATTAGATACAGAGGGTGCAAGATTGTATGTGTCAACAAAGAAGGTGATAGAGATCTGAGCTGAGCCTGAGGTCTGGAAAATAAAATGGAAACTCTGCTTACATGGTGTTTGCTTTCCGAGCTGCGTTATCATTGCAGTTCTTCGGAGATGAATTCCCTGCTTCATTCATTCTCTCTTATTTTGGCAGCCACTATCAAGATGCACTGAGAAGATGCAGGAAGTGTGGTATATTCTAGCTTTCTCTCAGAACTTGGTACTATTATTTTAAATATAATTCATGAGGGTTCAAAGCAAGTGGGTCCTTTATACACTGATATAAAGACTGAGAGAGACTTGTGATAACAGTGAGTATCTACTATACTTAAACCACTATGCTGCTAAAATAGCAACTGTGTGGTAGAATCTTGCAGACATAAAGAGCTAGTCTAAAATTTAATTTTATAGCTCATGGTAAATTCTTTTTAATATATCTCTTAGAAAGTATATTAAAGGAAACATAATCATTGGACAATTTGTGAGGAATTGTCCCAGGAAAAAAAAAGTTACTTTAAAAAATTAATCTTCTTGGGGTATGATGCCCTATGGTTAATTGTTTTTCCCCGGTACTCTTTCAATGGAATGACAGAACTTACTGATGTTGCTTGTGAGTTTAGTCCTATGGCTTTGTTCTCATCTCATGTGTTATATAGACAGGGCAGAGCTGCAACGCACCACTAGGAAATGCATAGAGCAAAATCCAGTGCCACCACTTTGGCCTACTCTGTCTCTGTACAAACACCTGCAGTTCCCCGGGGTTAGCACAGCACTACCAAGCTGCTGCTAGCGGTGCCTGTTCAAAGGCACTCGGCAAGAGTTGTTCCCTCCCAGCAAGATGTTTTCAGGTATATTTTTACATACACTGAAAGGCATCTGAGAAACCTAATAGAAAAGGGCCAGTGGGGAAAATGGAATTAATTTAGGCTTCATTATGTTCTTGTAGAAGTTAACAGGAGTTTTGCTAATGACTCCAACAACCATGGAGTTATGTCAGCTTGTGAGCACTGAGCTCCCCCTCCCTGAGAGCTACAGCCTGGGGGGTCTGGCCTGTCCAAGGGATCAGCTACGTGAGCTGAAAAGGAACATTTTTGATGCCTCTTCCCTTGTCGGGTGACTTGTCTTCTTATCCCAAGAAAGAAGAGTTTTGTACGAAAGTACTGCTATGTGCCAAGGTGTCCTGGAAGCAAGCCTGCCGAAGCCCACATGTTACATAGGTGACATAAATGCATAGCCAAGGCAGAGGCAACTTGTTGTTGACCCAGAGCCATGGTATTTTGTGCATCCTGGGCTGTCTGCTGGAAAAAGAGCCGTGAGGATTTTAGCTTTTTAAAAAGCCTAGACAATCCTGTGTTCTTAACGTACCAGCAAGCTCTTTGGAAGAGAAAGCATCCAGGTTCCTACTAGCTGGAACATCAAGTGCTGTATATATTTTGCTTTTAAAAGCAGTCAAACTTTTTAGTTTGTTTATTTTTCTTAGCATCATGTTAAGCTCATCATGTTCCTTTTGCCATTGCTTCAAGCACAGAAAACTTTCCATTTCCTATTAATAGCACTGTTGCTGTCTTCTCAGAGAAAGGTTGAAAGCTAAGGTATGATGAGAATTGTGCTCCTGGAGGTGCTGCTGACTCTGCTGACCTAGACTAGCAAACCTATGGCATCATTCACTCCTAGGCAAGTTGATTTAGCAGAACTCAGTCACAAAATGGTATCTTCCCATGGAGCTACCAAGAGGCAAAAAAGAGCCAACAGCACAGATAGAAAAGTTGCAGAACATGGTATTTAGCCAGAACATATTTTATTTATGCAGGGCCTGCCTGATGTTCATGAAGAGCTGAATTCTGGAGATCTGCTGCTGTCACAACACGTTGTATCTTTGCAGGAGGGCCCTAGCATGTCCTAATAGAAAGCCGGAGAAGGTGAGGTGTTACTGATAAAAATGAGAGTCTTGGAGAATATTAGATCTCGCTGAGTGATTAAGATGGAAAATGGGAAGTATTTTATGAGCCACAAGGGGAAATGCAAACTATGCCAGTAAATGAGTGTAACAGAGTATGTTTGGAACACGATGTGTATAAACTCATGAAAATACATTTAAAGAACATCACTGCAGTCAGATGTTCACTTGGAAGTTTTGGGTGTAAAATACTACTGACCTCATGTTTTTATTTTGCATTTTTCTTAAGAATGGCAGAAGTTAATTTCTCAACAACTGTGGGTCAGAAGGTGCAAATCCTTTTCGTCTAGTGAAATAAACCAACACAGGAATATTGAACTATTTTAACATATGCGAAAAAGGAGGCTTGGGCAGGTAGCCACCTGGGCATTATCTTGAAAGGTGAATGTAGCTTAGAGCCATTAGCACTGTTTATCTGCACGCTGATGAGTAAGGTAACTGAATCTGCTGCAAGATGTGCTGGGTTGGAGCTCATTAAATCTCCATTTCCATCTCTGCCATTTCACTGTGTGACCTTGGGCACGACGCCTCGCCCCAGTGTCGCACCAGAGAAGCGGGAAGGACAGTGCCAGCTTTTGTCTAGTGACATGGGGAAGGGGACCACAGGCTCGACCTCCTAGTACAAGCGAGCCTGGCGAACACTGTGGGATGATCTGTGGCAGTTCTGTGTTCTCAGTGGAAAAAAAAAGTTATTTTGCTGATTCTTAAAACAGCAGGCTGAACTTTTACTTAGCTTTATAAAATAGCACTAGGTAAGTGGTAAAAAGTTTGTCTAGAGAGATATGTGTCTCATAGCAGAGGTGAAAACTAAGCCTGAACACTGCTGTGGAGGAGACTGGCCTTTCTGTTCCCCGGGCTGGAGGCTGCGGAGCCTCCTTCTGCTCTCAGCCCCATTCACTGACACTGGCTGGACAAAAGCCCAGACCTAGAGAGTGGAACTAACACTTCCACTCTGCCTTAAATATGGCTCTAAAAACCAGGTGAACTTTCATGCTGAATATTTAAAGAGACTCTTTAATGTTTTAGCGCTGCTGATTTTCTAAGGTTGTTGAACACATGTGGAGGGGACTGGAAAGTGGCTTCCGTGTGACAGTGTGGATAGGACGGGGCTGGCTGCATGATGCTCCTTTTCCATGGGGGAAAGGAGCCATCCAAGGGGGATCCTTCCCCTGGGCTAAGGGCAGCCCAGCAGTCCCAGGAGGGAACAAAGAACAGGGCAACCCACCATACAAATAACAGCACCGTGAGCAAACCCTGCCAGTTCTCCTTTTCAGCACATGATGCACTGGGCTTTTCTGCCGAGATTTTCAAATTTACGCCCGCAGATCACGGAAGAAGGCTGCAAGGAAGAGTTTGCAGGGAAAAGCCTTCAGTACTGGGGAAGTGGAAGTGAGCAGTAACCACATGCTAGACATGGTTCCTGGTGAACGCTCTAACTTTTAACTACAGAGCCCAGCGCTAACACC